TAAGAATGGGAGGTGTGACAAACGAGAATGTGGTGTGTGAGCTGGCTGTTGTGGAAATCTCACTGATATCTCACAGCCTCTCACAGGAAGAGGACAAGGTGAACAACACACTAAATGCGTGGGTTACTAAGCACAGATGAAGGACGCCTGTTCCCAAAAGACTTGGCCAAGTCAATTCATTTGTGACCCTGGACCACAAAACCAGTCATAAGGGTCAATTTTTCGAAATTGAGATTTATACATCATCTGAAAGCTAAATAAATACGCTTTCCATTGATGTATGGTTTGTTAGGATAGGACAATATTTGGCTGAGATACAACTATTTGAAAATCTGGAATCTGAGGGTGCAAAAAAATCTAAATACTGAGAAAATCACCTTTAAAGTTGTCCAAATGAAGTTCTTAGCAATGCATATTACTAATCAAAAATTAAGTTTTGATATATTTACAGCAGGAAATTTACAAAATATCTTCATGGAACATGATCTTTACTTAATATCCTAATGATTTTTGGCTTAAAAGAAAAATCGATAATTTTGACCCATACAATGTGTTTTTGGCTATTGCTACAAATATACCCCAGCGACTTAAGACTGGTTTTGCGCTCCAGGGTCACATTTCTGTGTGTTCTTGTCTTCTTTTACTGAAATACACATTCTTTGTGTCATTTTTGAAATCTTAGGATGTAAGATTGCATAATATGTCACAAGCTTGTTAAATCACTATTCGCCGCAAATATAAATCTATTGCATCTTACTTTATAGTTTGGACCAACATTCCTCAAATCTGGCAGGTCCTGTATTGTACTGTACTGTATTGATTATTATTTTTTGCCATTGAGGTGATTTAGTTTTTAGTTTATAAGCAGCACAACTGTTTCCAACATTGATGATGATAAATCAGCATATTAGAATGATTTTTGAAGGATTATGTGACACTGAAGACTGGAGTAATGATGCTGAGAATTCAGCTTTGCATCACTGAAATAAATGATATTTTAAAGTATATTAAAATAGAAAACCATTATTTTAAATTGCAATAATATTTCACAATATTAATGTTTTTTCTGTATTTTTGATCAAATAAATGCAGCCTTGATGAGCATAAAATACATCTTTAAAAAATAAAATATCTTTTGCACAGCAGTGTATAAGTGCACTACATTTTACCACATTAATTAACCTTGTTATGTCATAAAAAGGTCCAATTATCTGATATTTTGAGAGATGCATTGACCTTGACACACACATGAGGGTCAACAGGAGTCCTCAGTGACACCATTTTCATGTTTTATCTTTTTGACTCCTTCATGTTTCTGCATGTTCGTTACACAACATGATTTTGTGGATTTTATAAATACACTAATAGATAGGACAAAAAAAAAGAGTCAAGACATTGATGCAATAACCTGGCAACCTCCCAGGACGATGTAGCATTAAAATAAGCTTATAAAATTAGCATTATTAAATCATTATTAATGTAGTTTTGATCTCTAGGCTATTCCATCCACATTTGCATTTAGCACAAATGGATGCTACTGTAAAATTGGAAATGTATTTTCTTGCCCCTGAAATACATTTTGAAAAATATTTTGGTAGATGAGGGTTGAAACTAAATATATTTTCTATTACAAAAAAAAATTCTTTCATTGAGCTTCACTGTTTACAGCATATATTTGGCATATATTAGCCACTGTAAAAATCTTTTTTTCTTTTCTTTTTTTTTTTTGAGGCAATCAGGGTGATGCCAACTTCCAAGTTGGCCTACAAAAGTTCATTATCAGTTCAGCACTCTATAGACGACCTTAGTGGCCCTGGGACAACGTTCCCCGATCGTCCGACAGACGACAGCCCTGCAATAGCGTTACAAATGAACGCTTAAAGAGCACAAGGATTCCTGGAGAAAGTGTCCACACAGCCCAGATCTGTAGTTTTGAACATTAGAAGGCCTGGATCCTAATAAGCCGTTCTCCGAGGCCCTACCGCAAGCATGCGAGACACACCGTAAGCCTCTTCGTATCCTCCCCCTTTCAGCCTCATAGCTTTTGCAGCCGCTCGGGACGTTGCAAAGTGCTTCAGCAGATGGAAAGCAGTCTTTAATTACAGTGGAATCAGCTGACCGGCATGCATCCTTCTCTTTCCGTCCTGGATGGACAGAGACAGAACAACAGCGAGTTAGAAAAGTGAGCGTTCATGCAAATGTCAACAACATGCTCCGCTTCTAGATGAGAGTTTGAAGACTACTCTGGAGTGCGTGTGTGTGAGTGTGTTACTCGAGGTAATGAAGGAGTGTTTGTACAATTTTTGGAGGATTTGTCTTCCGCTTTGACAGGGGTCTGTCAAAGTGCTTTATAATGCTGGTATTTTGGCTGCAGTTGCCCTGGGGGAGTCCCAGAGGAAGCTGTTGCTTGTTCAGTTTACAGTGAATGGCTCCCTTCCTGCTTCAACCGTGGCCCCAAAGGCTGGAGGCCAGGGTGCAGGGCTGTGTGTGTGTGTGTGTGTGTGTGTGTGTGTGAGCTCTCCCCTGTGCTTGTGTGGGTGGATATGCAATCGTACATCTGTTTGTTTGATAATGTGTGTGTGTTTGTCTTTTAAAGCGCGCAGATTTGCACTATTAAAACAGTTCTTGGACTTTCTTATTTCATTCTTTAACTTTTAACTGTTTACAGAAGGGGGTCTCATTTCCTAGCATTACTGCTGCAATTAGCCATTTGTTTCAGCTGTCGCTCCATAAAGTTCAGTGCCTTTACGTAAGCGAGACAGCCCATTATCTGCATTCTTTTGTCTATACTAAATATAAGTCTGCAACCTGGAAATAATTTACACTCAAACTCTTACAAGAAAGTTTCAGTAATGTATTCTGAGGTTACTCAGAAATGTGTGGAGGACTGCCATTTTCTGTCAACTGAAAAGTGGTTAGTTAGATACATTACCGCCATCTGCTGGGGAAAGTACGATCTGTGTCCAAAAATTGTCCTGATGAATTTTACATTGGATTGTAAATTGATTTTCTCAGAAACAAAACAGTGAAACAAAATAGTGGGTTTTGCCCAGAACTGACTGCCTTGATTCTTGTGGATGGTTGTCAGGGCGTTGCTTTAAGGTTGCTACGGTGTTCTGGATGGTTGCTTTTTTCCCCCTGGTTTATCAGATGCCAAGCCAAAAACATAACTCTGAAATCTTTAAAAAAGTAATAACACAGCTCTCCCTCAGTGTGCTGCAAAATTAAAACAAAAGTAGTAGTGACTTGTTTCTGTTGTATTAAACTTTTTTTTTTCAATCAGTGATGTAAAACTAACCTTAAAATAATAATAATAATAATAATAATAATAATAATAATAATAACCTGGAATAAAGTGAAATTTTTCTGTCATGTGCTGGGTGACAGATTTGTGTGTTTGTAGAGTAATGATCAACAACCAGCCTTTTCTGCCACCTTTTTAAATAAATAAATAAAAATAAATACAATTAAGGATATTTGGCCAGCAATTTCATAATTACAAAACAACAAATTCTATCAAAAAATATATGTATTATATATATATATATATATTGCACTTTTGCACGTATTGTTTGCAATGATGTAATTATTAACTAAAACTATGTTTTTGTTGACTGACATTAAGCTGAATTAAAATATTAAATTTAGATGAAACACTTAAAAAAAATAAACTAAAATGAGTGCCAACTAACTGAAAAAATGTTTAAGTACTAAAATGACTAAAATAAAACTAAAGCTAAACAGAAATATTAGGGGAAAAAACGAATAAAAATGACACACATAGCAAAATTAATACAAATTTATTAAAATAATTTTCAAAATATTCATCAATACAATGATAGTATATAAATTATGCTAAAATAACACTGTTTGATAATATGGTACCGAGCATGGCTGATAATCATGTAAGAAACAATACTGGAGGTTTATCAGTCTCAAAGAGCTCATTAGGTAAATCTTGTTTAATTGTTTAACTCAATATTGTGTTCAACATTAACCCAGGCCTTTTGTTTCCCTTGGTTTGTTTTGTGTTCTCCTACACTGTAAAAAAAAATGCCGTAAAATTTACGGTAAAAAAACGGCAGCCGTGGTTGCCGGAATTTTACTGTAAAAAATACGGTAGCAACGTTTTAGGTTTTAACTTAAATTTACAGTTAAATACCGTATTTTCATTAACTGATATAATGTTAATAAGTCTTTTACCGTTAAATTCACGGTCATTTTTTACAGTGTACTCCTGCTAAACACATGTTCTAATTACTGGTGGAAACAATCCAAAAGCACAGTAAGGTGGGATGCACAAAGCAGAAATATTGAGCAAAATTCCCAAAACTGTGCTGTTATTATAATAACTTTAGTATACATGCCAAAAAAAACTCTTCAAAAGGAGCCATCAACAGGTCTGAGTTGAAAAAAAAATGCATATTGAAAGAATATGTTTTGATTATGTATTTTTAAAAATTTGACATGTGACTTCACAGCTATTGAGGATATATTTTGGAGTTCACAATAATTATAAACGATAAACTCATTTGATTCTAATGCGTTTTCAACAACACCATCAGTTTTATTGGCTTTTATTTGATGTTAAATGGTTAAAATTATTTATTTTTGCACTACTAAAACTACTTTTCACAGTATTTTCACAGTGAAGCTAGGCTATTTGACATATATTTCAGTCCTTACGTACAGTCTAAATATACAGTATATGTGTAGTTATACAGTAGCCTTTATATGCAGTATATTTACATAGGAAAAGGATCAGACTTTTTTTTTTTTTTTTTAATACACAGGCTATATCAAAATAATTGTATTTGTTCAAAACAATACAATAGCAATGTTTTAAAAAAATCTTGCTTTACATTCATATATATATATATATATATAATTCTCTCTCTCTCTGTATATATATATATATACACACACACACACACACACATCCACATGGCTAATTAAGCATTGTCTTTGCATTTACAGTTTTGTGGAGAGCTTGGGTTGTTTTAAGGGCCTCTGATCAACACACAAGTTACTGTATGCTGTTATCCACTGGAATTGGCAGGAAGTAGATTGCATTTTGGCCCTTGTGTGTTTTGGAGCCGTTTTTTGCCCATCCATTCTTTTTGATCCCCACGTACCAGTCTCCGTTCTCCTGATACCTCTGTGAGCGGTATGTGTTGTAGTGGTTCTCCTCTATCTTCTCAATGAAGTAACACTCATCGTTCAACATGACCTGACACACAAAACACACACCAGGGGTGTGTTTCTTTACAACCATCAAAACTCAAATCGATAGAGGTGTAAATATGTACATATGGATATGAAATATTAAATTCAATACATTAAATGTACATATAGGTTAATGCATTTTTGTGATCAAAATTACATTACATTTTATATAAAACTAATTTTTAAAAAAACTTACAGTGCCATAAAGTTTTCCATATTTGTCCATTGCCAGGTATAGTCCAGTCTCATGACCCCTAATGGCTACTAATCCTGCTTTCACTGCTTTTACCTTTAAAAGAGCTGTCATACAATAAGATTTACAGCAAGGTAACAGGTTCTTTTACAAATTAATCAGCCTACATTTTTACACTGTATATTAGTAGTAGTAGTAGTAAGCTTTTATCATTATTTCATAGATATTTTAGTTAACATTTTGACATTTTGCTCTATGTTAGAACATACTTTATGTCTCATGTATATCAAGTACGCTTGGAAAAAAAAAATGCAAATCTGTAAACTGCATACTTACTGTAAACGTCGTTCTCTTGTCGACTTGCGTCCACAGTCCCGTTAGGTTGGATCCGGAGATGGTATCCTCCATTCCTGCAGTAAAGAACTGCAGGGGAGTTGTGAGTTGATAAAAAGCTAGTCAATCATAAAAATGTAAAAGAAATTATTTAAACCCTTGAACACCAAAAATAGAAATATTTAATTTGTTTACCTGCATGTCAATATGAGCATTAAGCAACATTGAACTGTAAACTTGCAAATGTGTCGTTAAATTAATTTAATATTAACTTCCTCAGAGATATTTCACGTAAATATCACAGTCAGAGTGCTTTGGCTGACAAAAACATGTGGGAATCCTTCTGTTTCATACATTGTCTAATTGCTTGAGAGGTGCTTTCTTAATAAATTAAAAATGATCTACTGCCATTGTGTGAATAATATGTAATCATGTAATCCATACAAAGTAACTGTAATCTGATCATGAGCTTTTTAAAAATGTAATATACTCTAGTTACAAGTATTTGATTTTTGGAATCTGATTACGTGATCCAGATTACATGTAATCAGTCACTACCCATTTCTGTATATATATATATATATATATATATATGAAGAGTTCAGATGCAAAAGCCTCTAAGTGCCATCTGAAATTTTCATCTAAAATTAGCATTTTTATCAAGCTGCTATGTTTAGGTTCAATAATTTTACTCTAATGGCAATGTATAGGTCCTTTTCCATGCAATTAAAGTGATATATATATATAATATATGAAGAGTTCATATGAAGATATGAAGTGCCATCTGAAATTTTCATCTAAAATTAGCATTTTTATCAAGCTGCTATGTTTAGGTTCAATAATTTTACTCTAATGGCAATGTATAGGTCCTTTTCCATGCAATTAAAGTGATATATATATATAATCTGTTATCACTTCTCAAAAACAACCACAAAACCTAAAATGCATTGTTCATTATTGATCATGTTAATTATTGATTATTATTAATAACTAGATAATTATTGACATTATTGTAAGATCCAGCTTGTAAGCAGGATTGACAGTACATTCGCACAAGATTCACATAATGGAAATTCTTTATAAATCAACATTTGTATTTATGGGCCTAAAGCTGTTCAAGAACCCTACTTGAGGCCAAAAGGGTAGTCGTTACTAGTTTTGTTTTCATTCACTTCAAAAGGCCTCAGGCAGACAGCACGTCTGAAGTGCTTTGGAAAGCTATCAGAGACGTGTTCGGAAGCAAGAGAGAACAAACAGTACAGGAATTTTCCAAGCAGCCACTGCACGAATACATTGTATTTATTGAAAATAGAGCTTTAGTGACAGACAGGTTGTCGAGAACACCGAGCAAAGCAGCCAGTGAGAATGATGGCCCTCAACAGAGTGCTAATGAACTGGGCAGGCCAGCAGCGCTTGGGACTTACCTGTGACTTTGTTTCAGAGCTGCAAAGAGAATGTTGGCTCATGGTACAGTAGCTTTGGGGTTTTTTGATACTCCTGAATATTCCATTGTGGTCCATAGAGCAGGTTTCTTTTTGCTCTTTTGATGGATGACTGGTGTTACTGGATACTTTCCAAAGCAAAAACTTCAGCTTTTGTTGTCTATCCAATGCCTTCATACAACCGTGTGTGACGTGGGCTCGGAAAAGCTGCTTGTGTAACATCATCTGGTCATCAGCGGACCTGAACTCTTCACCGTGTCTTTTCACTGAGGCATTTGCTCGGTTCCTGTAACTCCGCTAGATGTGGTCAGATCTGTTAGAAGACATGTGACCTCATCCTGCCCAGACAGTGAACTGTGTTGAGTTCATTTCAGGACGTGCTATATTTAGGTCTGAGCAGTTTCGGTAATAGTATAAATGTGTCGTTACTAAACATACAGACAAATGGCAATTTATATATCCGTTTGTGTTCTGTATTTTAAGATAACTTTGTATAGTACAAATAAGCTTTACAGATGTCTATTGGAAAGGGTTTAAATAATATTTTTCATGCTTATTCCATGAGCCATAAACAATTATTGCACATGCACCTGTGGAACAGGCACTAACAGTTTACAGGCAGCAAACAATCACGGTTCCAATAATGCATAGGACAGTAAAGAGACTTTTCTACTGACTAAAAAACTCCAGAAGAAAGATGTCCAGGGTTTCTGCTGCAGGAGGCATGATGACTGCAGATGTGGCCAGAGCAATTAACTGCTATGTCCTATAGGATGCCTAAGACAATGCTACAGGGAGACAGGAAGGACTGTGGCAAAATACAGTACAATTTTCACAATATAATACAGTAGAAACAGTAATGTTGTGAAATATCATTACAATTGAAAGCAACTGTTTTCTTTTTTCTTTTATGCATGGTGTCCACATTTGTGGACAGTTAATTTAACTCCATTTAGGCCCACACACACACACACACACACACACACACAGGTTTGTTTTTGTGAAAAGTGGGGACATCCCATAGGCGTAATGGTTTTTATACTGTACCGTATATTCTATTGCCCTACACCAACCCTACCCCTAAACCTACCCCTCACAGGAAACTTATATTTTTTCCCCCTCGTGGGGACCTGCCAACTTAGTTTAAAGAAAAATGTCTGATTTTATAGTTGTGTTTTAAAAGGTATCCAAAGGTACTGAATGATATTTACAATACATTTTCATGACTGCACATCTGCACTGCAAAAAAAAGTTACTGCACGTACGCTTACTTTCTTGAGTTGAAGCAACATAGTATTACTTATTCTAATGTTGACATTTAAGTTGTGATAACTAATTGCAGCAATCATTCATAGCTTAAAAATGACCAAACTTATCAAAACTGATAAAAATGCACCATCAATTTAAATTTTATAGTTTTATACTTCTGCATGCATTAATTCATTCAATTCATGTCCCTTCTGGGACACATGGTGGCAGTATACTCCATGTCAGAGATGCAGACGGCTGTGCTGGACCAATTCATGAAAATGATATGAGGCAGTTCTTATGACACTGAGGTTCTCACGCCTAGGGGCAGGTGTTCATGAGATACAATACTGTGGAAGCTTGAGAATTCATCAGCCATAGGCATTTGGGAGTAGAAACGGTGCAACACAAGATTCAACATGTTTCTTTCTTAACCATTATACTCATACATCTTGTAGCCTACTTCTGCATCGCTCTTCACTGGGTTAGGCATTTTAGGGGATAGCAATTAAGGACCCACAGCACAACAAATGTCATGTATGTCTCGAAAAATCCATGTTGAACTTTCTCAGTGCAACATTTCTTTGATGCACTGCCCCTGTTTTGTGTAAGTTCTGCATTTAATTATTAATGCAATTGCATCTTTCAGTTTCTCTGCAACTATAGCAACACCAAAGTGAACTTCCTCAACAGCGATGGCAATATGGCATTTGTTCTTGTTTCAGCTGACGTTATAAATATCTGTTTCAGCGTGTATCAGCGTTGCTTAAAATGACTTCAAGAGATACTGACAGGTTTGAACAAGACTCTGAAATATATTTGCAGCAAAAGTGGAACAAACCCTGGAGCAAAGTGGGAGTAAGGAATTCGGGATTTTTTTGCAAAAAAAGAAAAAAACTCAAGTTTATATATGACCAATATAATATATTATATATGTTTCTGTTCCAATATTTTTCAACCGTCCTAGTGTAACTACAAAGATAAGTGGTCTATGCCATGGACAGGAATTAACCTTTTTTTATGCTAACCTTTATGGTTAACTAAATTGTTTCTGCAGTCATAAACCCATGACTATGGTTAGTTTTATACTCTGAAAATAGCCTATAGACATTTATTGCCGTTATTGTTTAAATTTATGGTGCATTTTTGTTGGTTTTGGTTACATTTTGGTGGCACTCTAGATAGATAGATGATAGATAGATAGATAGATAGATAGATAGATAGATAGATAGATAGATAGATAGATAGATAGATAGATAGATAGATAGATAGATAGATAGATAGATAGATAGATAGATAGATAGATAGATAGATAGATAGATAGATAGATAGATAGATAGATAGATAGATAGATAGATAGATAGATAGATAGATAGATAGATAGATAGATAGATAGATAGATAGATAGATAGATAGATAGATAGATAGATAGATAGATAGATAGATAGATAGATAGATAGATAGATAGATAGATAGATAGATAGATAGATAGATAGATAGATAGATAGATAGATAGATAGATAGATAGATAGATAGATAGATAGATAGATAGATAGATAGATAGATAGATAGATAGATAGATAGATAGATAGATAGATAGATAGATAGATAGATAGATAGATAGATAGATAGATAGATAGATAGATAGATAGATAGATAGATAGATAGATAGATAGATAGATAGATAGATAGATAGATAGATAGATAGATAGATAGATAGATAGATAGATAGATAGATAGATAGATAGATAGATAGATAGATAGATAGATAGATAGATAGATAGATAGATAGATAGATAGATAGATAGATAGATAGATAGATAGATAGATAGATAGATAGATAGATAGATAGATAGATAGATAGATAGATAGATAGATAGATAGATAGATAGATAGATAGATAGATAGATAGATAGATAGATAGATAGATAGATAGATAGATAGATAGATAGATAGATAGATAGATAGATAGATAGATAGATAGATAGATAGATAGATAGATAGATAGATAGATAGATAGATAGATAGATAGATAGATAGATAGATAGATAGATAGATAGATAGATAGATAGATAGATAGATAGATAGATAGATAGATAGATAGATAGATAGATAGATAGATAGATAGATAGATAGATAGATAGATAGATAGATAGATAGATAGATAGATAGATAGATAGATAGATAGATAGATAGATAGATAGATAGATAGATAGATAGATAGATAGATAGATAGATAGATAGATAGATAGATAGATAGATAGATAGATAGATAGATAGATAGATAGATAGATAGATAGATAGATAGATAGATAGATAGATAGATAGATAGATAGATAGATAGATAGATAGATAGATAGATAGATAGATAGATAGATAGATAGATAGATAGATAGATAGATAGATAGATAGATAGATAGATAGATAGATAGATAGATAGATAGATAGATAGATAGATAGATAGATAGATAGATAGATAGATAGATAGATAGATAGATAGATAGATAGATAGATAGATAGATAGATAGATAGATAGATAGATAGATAGATAGATAGATAGATAGATAGATAGATAGATAGATAGATAGATAGATAGATAGATAGATAGATAGATAGATAGATAGATAGATAGATAGATAGATAGATAGATAGATAGATAGATAGATAGATAGATAGATAGATAGATAGATAGATAGATAGATAGATAGATAGATAGATAGATAGATAGATAGATAGATAGATAGATAGATAGATAGATAGATAGATAGATAGATAGATAGATAGATAGATAGATAGATAGATAGATAGATAGATAGATAGATAGATAGATAGATAGATAGATAGATAGATAGATAGATAGATAGATAGATAGATAGATAGATAGATAGATAGATAGATAGATAGATAGATAGATAGATAGATAGATAGATAGATAGATAGATAGATAGATAGATAGATAGATAGATAGATAGATAGATAGATAGATAGATAGATAGATAGATAGATAGATAGATAGATAGATAGATAGATAGATAGATAGATAGATAGATAGATAGATAGATAGATAGATAGATAGATAGATAGATAGATAGATAGATAGATAGATAGATAGATAGATAGATAGATAGATAGATAGATAGATAGATAGATAGATAGATAGATAGATAGATAGATAGATAGATAGATAGATAGATAGATAGATAGATAGATAGATAGATAGATAGATAGATAGATAGATAGATAGATAGATAGATAGATAGATAGATAGATAGATAGATAGATAGATAGATAGATAGATAGATAGATAGATAGATAGATAGATAGATAGATAGATAGATAGATAGATAGATAGATAGATAGATAGATAGATAGATAGATAGATAGATAGATAGATAGATAGATAGATAGATAGATAGATAGATAGATAGATAGATAGATAGATAGATAGATAGATAGATAGATAGATAGATAGATAGATAGATAGATAGATAGATAGATAGATAGATAGATAGATAGATAGATAGATAGATAGATAGATAGATAGATAGATAGATAGATAGATAGATAGATAGATAGATAGATAGATAGATAGATAGATAGATAGATAGATAGATAGATAGATAGATAGATAGATAGATAGATAGATAGATAGATAGATAGATAGATAGATAGATAGATAGATAGATAGATAGATAGATAGATAGATAGATAGATAGATAGATAGATAGATAGATAGATAGATAGATAGATAGATAGATAGATAGATAGATAGATAGATAGATAGATAGATAGAAATAGTCAGATAGATAGATAGATATATAGATAGATATATAGATAGATAGTGGGAGAAATGTATGAACTGAACTATGAACTATAGCAAGTATAAACAAGAATAAACTTCAACAATTAAATACAACATTGGATGACAGTATGAATAAAGAAATAATATAGGAAGCCAATAAAGGAAATAAAAAATTTAAAACAAGAAGTGTAGAAGTAGTAAATCAAATTATGTAACATTCAGCAGATTTTCACAAACGTGACACTTTTTTGGGCGTTAATATTTTTTTGTGTTATAATTAGGTAGTTAAAGTCACAAAGAAAATGATGTAATTTGGGTAATGCTGGGAATGTTAGGCTATAAGAATTTGGGTTTGAATATAATATTTTGCCAATAAAATAAATACATTTCCTATATATTCTACAGTATGTTATGTTTACAATGAGAAAAATAACAGAATATATCACACATAGTTAAATCAATGTCTAAATTGAATTTTGAAGCAAGGAATTTTGACAAATTCTTTAACAAAGGGGCATTTGAAAAAAAAAAAAAAAAAAGATGATCAATAGACTCAATACTGAAATGATAGAAATTACAATTCAAATGAGCATTACCAAATTTGATGTAAGCCCATTATGGGGTATACATTATGCAAACATTTTAAATGTAATTCTTTTACTTTGTTGGGGAGGGGACACACAACAAATTCCCCTCAGAGTAACATTTCTTATCATTTTATTACTACATTTTGGGTCGTAAATACTGTTGTCTTCAACCCAAAAAAAATTCTGCTCACTTTTTACAATCACTTCAAATGATAGGCTAAATGACATTTCATTAAGTGAACAAGACCATTTGGTTTTACCATTTGAAGAAATTCCTTATGGACAACAGGGAAATTGTATTTAAACATGACATCACAGTAAGAATGAACATTCCCTTGAGGATCTAGCATATCACAAAGATAGGCTGATTAATGTATGATCAGAACTAACATGAAATCCCCGCATCGTTGTGACATCATCGCTCTTGATCAACTAACCAATCACATTCGTATCCTGTCGCGTGCGTATCGCGTTCACAGGCCGCTTCGGAATCCCGCAACGCTATTGGCTGAACGACATGACAATCACAGGATTATCCGCTTCATGGTAGGTTGGTACCGTACAGACGCGTTTAAAAACGCCCAAGCAGGAGTCCGCAATTACCGCGTTTTGTTTTATCATCACCCTGCAGCGGAACATTATGACGTCGTCATGAGAAGCGCACGGGTCTTCTTTGGATTCCCTTGATTGACAGATCCCGGCAAAATATTTCATTCTTTTGCGCAGCGGCGTTGTAGACAAGATGCACTTGTGATTTGTGTTTTTGTTTTGGTTGTTAGAAAGCATCCGTTTCCGACTACCGCTATGTAGTTTCTAACTTCAATGCTTTTTATGATTAGTTAAAGTTGCATTTAACTTGCATCTGCATTGCGTTCCGCTGTTGTCCTGGGCTGTGGAGCTGGAGGAAGTATGGGACTGCCTGCGTTAGAGTTCAGCGACTGCTATGTGGACAGCCCTCAGTTCCGAGAGAGGCTGAAGTCTCATGAACTGGAATTAGAGAAGACCAATAAGTTCATCAAGGAGCTGATTAAG